TCAGGCAGGCAGGAGCCAATTCAGCCTTCTGCCTTTTTGTTCCATTCAGGCCCTCAACTGATTGGAGGGTGCCCACCCATGTTGGAGAGGACCATCTGCTTTATTCAGCTCACTAATCTCTTCTAGAAACACCCTCCCAGACACGCTCAGAAATAACACTTAACCAGCTATCTGGACACCCCATGTCCCAGTCAAGATGACACATAAAATTAACCAGCACATGTGGTGAGGTGAATCTTGAAAAGGAGTAACAAGCGTTACCTGGCAAGCTACCTGCTTCAGGTAAGACCCTTGCAAGGCCTCCAGGCAAGAAGACCTCTAGAACATGGGTGCTTGGAACATTCAGGGGAATCAAGGTTCAAGATTTGGGGGCTTATCTACCCAAATGTTCCCATTTTAAACCTCAGGGTCCTCCTTTCCTGTCAGCGCTCTGAATTTGACCTTGGAGACCTGTCAAGGCTGTGCACGCCATACTGTTTGTGGTTCTGCCAATCTTACAATTAGATCACAAGTCTGATTTTCAGCACAATCTGCCCTGAGGCCTGCAGGTGATACCTGTCTCCTGAAATGCTGTCGTAGAGGCCCTTTGCCTTTCACAGTGTGCCTTGAGTTGATCATTGGCGGTCCTGAGCCTATTAGGTCACAACACCTGGCCAACTGCACAGGCCTTACAATTCCCATTGTCTCCACACTGATCAGATGCCACAGCTGCCACATACCGCAACACTTGACCTTCTACCTGCTCCTCATCCCCATCCATCTCAGGCAACAATCTGGGTAATGATGATGCTATTGTATATCAGATGTTATCAGCACCCACTTACCACATGGCCACCCTACAGGCAACTGGTTCTCCTTTCTGAGAGACCTTCTGAGGAATTTAGGAGTGGTGTCTCAGAACTGTCTGCTCAGGAGATAAAAGGCAGAAGGCCTTACCCATCAATTCCTGTCCCCCATTGGCTGAGGATGGACCCATGGGCGTGAAGTCCCCCACGCTTCTAAGTTGCCCATATGTGAGTGCCAAGCAATTTCCTGCAAGCGTGGGAGAAGCCCAGAATCAGGAATCAAGAGGTAGGTACACTGCAGGAGCCTGAGGCAAGGTATTGTCAGGTTGTGCCCATCAAAGCCAGTGGGTGCATGGAACTGGCCACTGCAGCAGGGGCTGGAACACCAGGTGGGGCCAAGAGGATCTGAAGCGATGCTTGAGGGATGTCCACTACAACTGCCCATGCTAATGGAGGAAGAGAGAGTCACAGACAGATTAACGTGTCTGATTTGGGAATGTCTTTAGCATTTCTTTTCTATGATATCTGCCTTTTTAATTCTGTTTAGCTCAGGTTAATATTAAAATGAGATTGAATTCTCTGAGCACACCCAGATAGCCACAGATGGGGAAAGAGAAACCCAACCCGTTATTTGAAATGTCCTACACAGAAAACCCACTTGTGATTCATTCATTCAACAAATAAGCACTGTTCCAGGCACTAGGATTACAGCCGTGAATAAAACAGAAGAAACGTCTTCTCTCCGGGAGCTTACAATACCGGGGAGAGGGGACAGTGAATAGCATGAGGAAATTAAATAGTACACTAAAAGGTGAGAAATACTCTCCAGAAATATTAGGGCAGGAAGAGGGTAGGGAGTGTGGTGGGAGGGGTTCCTGTTTTAAATGGGATTCTCAGAGAGGACCTGCTAATCAGGGGACATTGGAGCAGAGACTTAAAGGAGGGGAGATGTGGATATCTGGAGATGGCATTCAGGGAGGAGGAATGGCAAGCACAGAGGCCTCTGGTAGCAGGGAGCCTGGCAGGCCGAGAAGCCAGGTGGTCCGTGGGCTGGTGTGGAGAGAGGGAGTGAGCCAGAGGGGTGCCCCCCCTGCTGTGGGGTCCCACAGGAGGGCCTCCCGTCTTTACTCTGAGGGAGGGACTCCGGAAGGGAGGCGGGAAGTCCCAGGAGGGTTCCCAGCAGAGGAGAAGGTGATGCTCTGATTCTATCTGAATCATATGCACACTCACACATCAGTGTGAACACCCAGGTCTCAACACGGCTCAGTCTGACGTTCCTAAGATTGCCATCCAGCCGACGGCATAGCTGCCGGGGACTGCGACGTTGAAGGTCGCTCTCCGGGCACTGAGACACGGCAGGACTCTGGGCATAGATGACGGAGGGCTGATGGCAGAGGAGCGAGGCACAGATGAACTTCCCAACTGCAGGGATGATGCACGCCGAGGGCGCAGGCGCCCAGAGCTGCCCCAGAGGAAGCCCGGTGGCGCTGACTCACCCGGGCCACCTGCGCCCGGCGGGAGGCGCCCCTCCTCCCCTGTCCTGTGCAGCGTGTCTAGCACAGAGTTCTCGCTCGTAAACCCCGCCCTTGACAAGCATGGCAATAAAACTTCATTGTTCCTGGTGGCAGTAGTCTGTTGTTTTAACCTTTGGCTTCCTTTCTTCCTGGTACTTTTATACATCCGGTTCTGGTAAAATGAAAAGATTCACTCGGTTTTCAACCGCACTCTGTTCGGGCCCGGGTTGCCCTCGGCCCTCCCCAGCTGAGGGGGCAGTGCTGGCGCCCTCCTGGAGGAGCTTCCCCTCGGGACAGCGCCCACGCCGGGCTCCCGAGGGCCGTGGGAGGCAGCCGGCGCGCCTGCTGGAGGTCATCGCTCAGGAGGGGACGTTCCAGGAGGCCATGCAGGCACGCGTGTCCCTCCTCGGCTCTACCAGGCCCCCCGTGGGACTCGTCGCTGAGGGGTATTCCAGGGGACAATGAAGCTCTTGTGGTGGTGGGATCTTGGTCCCGAGTGGGTTTCGCTGACTACTGTCTATCCTCTACTGTCTGCTGGTGTCCCAGCATGTGCAGAGTCCTCAGGATGGGGAGAGCCTCTTACTTGCAAATGCTCCTTACACCCGTAGGCGGGAAAGAGGAAGGAAGACGCCTGGAGAGAGAACGAGGAGGGGCTCTTCAAGGCACACAGCGAGAGAAAGCTGCCCCGTGGGCGGGACAGGGAGAGAGAAGGGGAAGAACAAAGGCTCCTTGTCGCCGGATGAGGGGCTTAAATCAGGCGCTCTAACTGGGAGGGCGCACGCCTTTCCCTCTCTGCCCCATAAAGAAGGCCCGGGCAGCTGAGCGCCCCCCAGGCCCGGCCGCCAGCTGTCCATCACGTCCCACTGTGCAACAGGAAACCTCAAAGTCACAGTCAGACGGGCGCCAGACGAGCACCCACGCAGAGTCTCGGAGCTGCAGCCACCGCGTGCGACCCCACGGCCACGTGTTGCCTTGAGCGCGCCAGCCGCGCTGGGAGCCGGGCTAGGGCTCGCGGCCTCCTGCCCGCCCCTCGGAGACGCCGACAAAAAGGACCGTTCTGTTGTCCGCATTTTACAGAGGAAGAAACTACCTCAGAAACCTAACTGCCTCTGGTTTCCACTGATCCACATGACTCCAGAGCCACATGACTTCGTGGACATAAAATGGGCAATGCACACAGATACACAAACACACACCCCCCCACACTATACAGGCACCCCACTCCACACACACATACTCCCCACAGGCACACACACACCTCTCTCACACACATACATACACACCACACACCCACATACACAGTCTCTCACCCATACACCTACACACATCACACCCACACACATTCCACAAGGACAGACACACATGGATACTCCCCACAGGCACACGTACATCCACACACACCTTTCACACACGAATATACCACACACTACTCACACATACACACTACATGCTACCTAAACACACACCCCACATGACACACACACCAAGCACTCGCCACACACATACAAATATGCGTGTCCAAAAATATGACAAAAAAGAAAAAAGATTAAAAAATTCAGATCTACTTGTGTTCAAAGAAATACACATTTTAAAACAACATGAAATGGGCCACATGAAACAAACTCCTACTCTGTGGATGGAAATGACAGACTGTGGAGTCAGCCTGCCTGAGGTGACGGGTCAGCCCTACAGCTCCCTTGCTGGGTGACCATGGACAAGTCAGTTCACCTCTGTGTCGCCTTCAGCTCCTCTGTGATATGGGGACAATGGCACTACTTCAGAGTGGTGGTTGTGAGAATTTCATAAGTAAAAATATGTGACGAGCTTAGAGCAGTGCCTCCCACATTGGGGAACTCCACACACCTGCCACCGTCATTATTATCATTACTGTTACTGCTGCTGGTGGTGAGGGTGCCTCTCCTCGTTATTGGTAGGAATGCCTCTCTGGAACGTGACGTACATCAAAATCCCTAAAAACTGTCATCCCAGATGGCCCAGCAACTCCTTCATCCTGAGGACACACACAGAGAGGCAGTCACAGACTTCTGTTTGAGGATGTTCATCGCAGCATCATTAACAGCAAAAAAAAAGGAAAAACGGAAACAACCTAAGTTCCTGCACAGGCGTTGGTCATGGGGCCATCTGCCGGACCACTCAAGCAAGAAACCTTCAAGTCATCCTTTGTTCCTTGCTCACATCCAGTCAACGGCCAACTTCTGCAGTTTCCACCTCCTCCCTCAGGAATTCGACCACTTCCTGCCTTTACTGTCAGGGCTCTGCGAGAGCGTGACTTCCTCAGAGAAGCCTCGCCACCCCCCTGCCCGCCATCCACTGTGTTGGGTCCCTCTGTTGCACGCTGGTGTGGTGCCTGTCCTTTTCCATCACACCCGACACCTCTGCAGTGACCGCTTCCTCACTTCTGCCTCTCCACCCGATGATGAGTCCCAGGAGGGTGGGGGGCTGGCTGTCTTTTTTACTATTATCCCAAAAGCCTACAACAGTGCCTGGCATACGCAGTGTTTCCCAATGGAGTCAGAGAAGGAATGTGATTCAGCCTTAAAGCCATATTCTCATGGAATCCATACGGCAAAATGCTCACGATACAATACAAAACGAGAAAAAGTCTACGAAACTATATATAGAGAGAGCATGACAATATTATACACAAATATAAATGTAAAAACCCAGATGAAAGGCGCTAAATTGTCAGCAGTGGTTATTCCCCGCCATTTTTATTTTTTCTTTATATATGCATGTATTTTCCAGACATTTTACAATAAATATCCATTTCTTTTATAATTGTGAAAACAGTGGACAAAATAGATGGATACAGCAGAGGATCCAGGATTTGTGCAATGATCCATAAGTTGAGTCCAGGGTCTGGATGCTGGAGGCAGCCTGTGAAATACCCACAATGGGGTATCCATTGATACCCCATCTGTTGATTCCAGCAGTCATTTCCACACAGCTCGGCACGATCACCGGAGATTCCTCTATGTAATGGGCTCCTTTCTTTCTTGTGGGGCCCCATTAGGCCGAGTACAGCGGAGATGACAGGTGGTGGTTTCAGAAAGATAACATAAAATTTTTTTTCTTCCTAACAGAAAAATTCAGGGTAAATAAGTCTTTGTTTCCTTAAGTCACCATATTTGCACATTCAGGGTTGTGTCGCAGAGGCTCTTACAGGAAGACCTGTTTCTATGTGTCCACGATGGCATCTTCTACTGTTCGCAGTATCTGTGAAAGGTGCCAGTGTGACAGCCCCAACAGTGGGGCCACCAGACCACCACTAGGCCAGACCTCCCCAGGTTTGGGAATCCATGTGGGCCCAGGGAACCAGCACATGGACCCTTGAGTCCATGGAACTTGGGACAGGGTTCCAGTCTTGATCTGGACTCTGGATTTCTTCTATTGCCTGATTTCTCAGGGCCTCAATTTTCCCTTCAGTCAAATCGCAACGTTGACGCACCTCTCAGAGACAGCTTTAAGGAGTAGTGAAATTTACAGCACTGCCAGTGGGGTTGTGTCTTTCTGCCCACAGGTCTCTCTTAGGCAGATCACCAAATGAGGAACAGAGCGGGAACAAGCAGGGATGTTCAGCCTGGAGAAGAGTAGAAAAAGCAGAGGATAGTGGAACATAAAAGTTGTCACACGTACCAAGGACAGATTTGTTCCGCGTGGGTCCCCAGGGTGGAATTGGAGCCAATAGCAGAAGTTCTAGAAAGTCAGATGTCTGCTTCACTTAAAAAAAGAACCTTCTAAGGACAAGAAGTACTCCAAAGGGCTGCCTTGCAAGGCAGTGCTGAGCCCCGTGCTGTGAATATTTCAGTGGGGCTGACTGGCCAGGGGGCAGTTTGGGTAGAGAAGATTCTTGCCTTAAGTCCGAGACCACACAGGTACCCTCCAACATTCCTTCTGACTCCGAGAACCTATGTTTCTGCCAGTTTTTGCTTTCGGAATTGCTTGAAAATAATTTCTAATTCCTCCCAACACCATTTTATCTAGGCCGCGCCAGAGTGCAATTGTCAGGCGGTCTCCCTCCGTGCTCACGGCCAATGGTGGAAATTTGTCTTGTCTGTGGCTGGCTATCTCCTTATTACAGGAAATGCTCACAATGAGTCCTGCCTTCCCTGAGTAAAAGTCAGGACTCAAATTCCCAGCCTCCTGTGCAGGAAGGATGAAGACTGGACCTTCAAATACTCCTATTCAAGATTTGAATGTGGAAGTGAAAAACCTGAAGAGAAAAAAGGGGGCCAGGGGTTTCCGCCTAGTGCCTCAACACTTTCTTCAAAGTGTTTTAGGTGATGGCAGTGACATCCGGATTTGAGGGTGGCAGGTGTTTCCCAGGCAAGCCCTGGGGCTGGCAGTTTCCTCAGTGACAGCAGAGGTGGCATGTGCAATCAAGAAGATTTCTGGCATTTAGTGTCTCTGGGTGCAGAGACCATTAATGTCTACTCACTGCATTTGTGGCTGTGTTTGGAGTGTGCTCCTGGAAGTTCAGCCTCAGCTCTCACTCCCACCTGCCCGTGAGTCTGTGTGCTTCCTAATGTTGCCTAAGAAAATGGCTAGATGCTCACCAGACCCATTTTCTCTGGGTCCTTGGACACACAGAGCTAGAATGCCTTGCCCAGCCTCCCTTGTGCTTGGGCGTGGCCACATTACTGTGTTCTAACTAATGGAATGTGGGCAGAAGTGACAGACTTTCATGCTTGGTCCCTAAAACCTCTGGGACAATCTTCCATGCCCTTATCTCTCAGCAGGGTATAGAGGATACAGCGGAAGACGACAAAAATCCCTAGACGATGGTGGAGCCGCTAGAAGAAAGGAGTCTGCGTCCTTGAATCCCCACACTGGACTGTGACCGTGACCAAGAAACAAGCCTCTTATGGTTTTAAGCCACTTTGATTTGGGGGTTGTTATAGGGTTAGCCCATTCTGACTAATACACTTAATAAACCCATTTTCTGCTGAGCTGGCCAGAGTAGATTTTATTTTTTACGACTAAGAGCTCTGAGCGTTTCCCTCCCCGACTTGATCCGCCGTCAGGAGGTCTGCCTTGCTGATGAGACTCGTAGCCTCTGTGCGCTCAGAACAGGCAGCGCGGGGCTTGCCTGGACCTCTCCGCCAGCGCAGCACAGGGGAGCGAGGCAGCGCCCCGCCCGGCAAGCACCCTCCCCGCTCAGGACCAGGCCACAGAACCACAGAAGTCTCTCCGAGGGAGAGTCGGCCTCTCCTCTGCGGTCAGGGCAGGGCCTGTGGTCCTCCTGGCGCCCTGCTAGGAGCTGAGGGCACTCAGGCTTGTTCCTCCTGATGCTCCCGCACTCCGCGTGGGGAACCCTGCCGCTCTACCTTGTTAGAGGGTGAAGGCGGCTGAGTCAGCACCCAGAGAGCTGTGGCCGAGGAAACTACTTCGCGCCCAGCTGAAAGCAGGCGTCGGGGTTGCACAGCAGGGTTACGCAGCCGACACCCTGCGGCACGTCTAGCCTGCTGACCCCGTGAGCCCGGTACCCACCAAGCGAGCCGAGGCAGCCAGGCTCTACCAATGACTGACCCTCCCCTCACAGCTGATTGGCTAAGGCCTGGGCACGTGATCCGAGCTGGGCCAATCCCATGTTCTGCGCCTAAAATGTGGAACCGCAGTTTCAGGCGCGGCTGCCCCGAGGCCAGGCCGTCCGTTGAACCCAGCAGACGGAAACCGATCGTCGCTGTGTGGGACGGTCTTCTAGGCCCCGCAGACTGAGAAGTAGGCCGGGAGGAAGCCAGCTGGCTAACAAAAATAAAGCAGCAGAAACAGAGAAGACAAGGGAAGAGAAGGAGGAAGGGCGAACTTGCTGAGCCTGCCTGCATCCCAGGCTGTGGGCCCACGAGTGAACCCTCTATCCATAAACTAACTTTCCTCTAGTTTACTCAAGCTCGTTCACGTGAGTTTGTAAAATCTAAAACTGAAGGGTCTTAACTGATACAGTAAGAAGCAGACAATGTTACCCCACAGATTGCCACCTCGTGGAAACCAGGCACCTCCTGGCTTGTCACGAACTGAGAAACCTAAATATACTCAGAGCTAGGAAAAACACGGCGCTGGCTAGGTCTCCCGGGACTTATCTCTAAGTGGAAAGGACATGACCTTTTCTCCAGTCCAACAGCCTCCTGTCAGAGCAGAGCAAACGCAGAGCCTAGAGAGGTGGGTTGACTTCCCCACGCTCCCACCAGCAGCCAGGTCGGGGCCAGAACCCTGGTCCCCCAGCCTCCCAGCGGCAAGGCCCAGTAAAACCCCAAACTTGAAATCCCCCTTAGAAGGAGCACCCTTTTCCCACCTGCGGCCGCAGAACGCAGGGGCCGGGCGGAGGTATCAGAATAAGCAAGCACGTGTTGCTAGGCTGGCGACAAATGACGCGGCTAATTCCCCTCGTCCCCCGGTCCCCGCGCCGCGGGGTCGCCGCGCTCCCTGCGCACATGTGCGCGCCCGGGGCCGCGGGAGCAGCTGCGGAGGCCGGGCGCCCGGGCGGGGGATGGGGCCAGCGCCCCCGCCCAGCGCGGCGGGGAGGGCCCGCCAGCCGGCCTTTCAGAGCTAATTAGCCTTCATGAATATGGATGCCCCCGCCGACTGAATACGGTTGAGAGGTCACAACCCGACCCCGCGAGGCGCGTAGGAAGAAAAGACTCCTGTTCCCAGCCCGTCGCTCGTTGAAAGCCTGAGCCGCCCGCGCAGCGCCGAGGGTGTGATCGCCGCCGCCCCATTTCTCCGGCAGGAGCAGCATTGAGGGGCGCCCTCCCCGGCCCAGGCCCCGACTAGCTGTCGCTAATGACCCGCAGGTCTGTGCAGGCGGCCCAGCGTCCGTCCCGCTGAAATGTCGCTGTAATGCTCTTGCACTGGGAATTCATTCTGAAGCTTCCTTTTTCCATGATGGTTTTCATTTCCTGTCACTGAGAGCTGGAAGCATTTATGGAATATCACATGGTTTTCGTTTACACAGGAAATCAGCTGCAGTTGTGAGAAGATACCGACTTAGATTTTTGTTTGTTTTTTAAATCCTCCTCCCCTCCAAAAAGATTGAGAGAGAGAGAGAGAGAGAGAAAAAAGACCAGCTTGCAGCATTTTGTTTTGAAATAGTTTCCCCCTTTTGATCCAAAGTCACCGTTCTCCGAAGTGATCTGTGGTTGTACAGAAAGCAGCTGCTCATTTCGGACACGTGGTCATCACTGCACGTGAAGAAAGCCGGGCACCAAGCAGAGCAAGGAGCGACCCAGAGGGGCGGGCCGGCGAGGGGCGCACAGCTGCGCCGGCAGCCCCGCCTCGGGGCCGGGCCCGCGGGGGAGGCCGAGACACCGCCCCCAGAGCGCCTCCGGGGCTCGGCGCCCACCGCCCCGAAAGACAGCGCTTCCTGCGCGGTTAACCTACTAGGACCACTCTGCGTGAACCTGAAAAGAGCAGTGTCCTGCCCCGCACCCCCTTCTACCCTCAATGGCCCCCGTGTAAGTCCACTCTTGACCCAGCCCCAACCCAGCACCCCAGGAATCAGAATCGCAGGGCTTTCTAACAGAGGTTGAGAATGATGTGGAAGAATTTGCGATTTGTTCTTTAAGCTCGGCCCTCCGGTTACCGCTCAGTGACAAACTCCTGACTAGAAGCCCCACAAAGACAGCGCTCTCTCTTACCCTCTCTCCTTCCCCCGTGTGGTTCTAGCTGCTTCTCACCCTCCACCCACGTCTCAGGGCCACCTGGTCGTCCCTGGGCAAGAGCGCCACCTTGTGGCCAGAATCCCTCTCCGAGCCTTTCCTCTACCCCTTTTCCGGGTTCCTGAACAATCCCTGAGACTGTCTTTAAAGATCCAGCGTGCCCAGAATGGATGGACTCAGGGCTACAGAAGAGCCCCCATCAAGGGTTGAAATGGCTCCTACCTCCTTTCTTCGTGTCCCTGAATGAGCTGAAAGCACAGGAGACAAGAGCTCTCCTTTCATGTCATCCACTATTCCACAATAACAGACCAATTCTTGTGATTTAAGGCTGAGCCCCCAGTTAAATGGCCTTGAAGAGATATAATTTAAGGACCTATTTTACGGTGAACCAGTTTATTACATTTTCCCAAGGGTAAGTGGGCTCCTAGAGAGGGGAAAAGGCAAAGAGGCAGGAGGCCCACCCTGAGGTCCAGGAGGGGCAAGAGCCAGCACTGTGGCCACCCTTGAGGGCAGGGGGCCATCCGGGGGGTGGACTAGGAGGTGGTGAGGTGGTGGCTCTGGGAAGCAGGGTGGGGACAGAGTCCTGTACACATTACAGGGGTGGGAGGGAGCCCTCAAAGAACATCGAGTCCCCAATGGGCCCCCGGAACCCAGGTGTCCCTCCAGGGTGGCTGTGTCCCCGGAAGCTGAGACCCACTTAATGGAGACTCTCTGGCAGTCTCCCCACGACCATGGTCTTCTGCCTCCCTCCCCCAGCCCATAAAACCAACAGTCCTCTGTGGGAACACCAGCCCCGCGTTTTTATGGGCTGTCTGCTGGCGGCTATGGGACAGTGGGGACAGAGGCTCATTGCCGCAGGCCTTTCACTCTCCAAATGTTCAGCTGTGTAACGTGACCTGTCCTCTGAAACCAAATATTTGCAAGGACACCCAGAAGCCACCTGGCTACCAAATCTCTTGATGCCGGGGGTGGGGGACGGGGGGCGGGGGTGGGTGAGGTCAGGTGTGCCGTGAAAATCCGACCTGGGAATCTTTCTCAGCTTCCGAGGAGTCAGCAGGCCAAGCCCCCTGCCATTATGCCGGGAAGCCTGGCCTCCCGGCTGTCACAGGCGGCCCCCACTGGGATGTGCCACCCAACTCTCAGGGGAGCCCTGAGCCGAATGAAAGGAACCCCGTTCCTTTCCGCAGCAGGCAGCTCTGGTCGCTATCTGAGGCCCTACACTCTCCCTCCCTCCGGGCACCGGCGTGGACCTCACGTTGCTGACGACCTGACTCTGAGTCAGCGTGCGCTGCTCTGAGGGTCCTCAGCTCCACGACCAGCCCTGCGCTGCCGAGCTCGTGGAGAGCAGAACATTCCACGCAGAAGGCACTACTTTGGTCCATTTTGAGATGCACCTTCTTGCTTTCTCTTTCTCTCTTCTACCCAGCACTCCTCTTTTTTCTCCTCTCTCTGGAAGTATGGAGTTTATTGGTCTCTGGGGACTGGGGGTATGGTCACAAACTTAATTGCTGTAAGACCCAACCCCTGCCTGGCTGATTCGGTCTTAGGGTGGTTCCTGGTGAATCACGAGGACTCTCGAGTGGCACACCCCCTCTCTGCTCCCGGCTCTTCCTGCTCCTCTTGGCCTCACCGTCTGGAATACAGGAGGACTTTCTGACGGAGGGAGAAGTTTTGAGAGGAGAAATCAGATGCAGGAGAGCCTCTCTCTCTCTCCCAACCCCTTAGGCTTCTGAGAAGTCTCACCCAGGCCTCACCCCCAGCTGCTGCCTGTCCTAGGGGAAGCCTTCCCTGAGGGCGAGCCCCCCACTCCGCGCAACGCCTGCGCTTACCGTTTTACCAGCCTGGACTCAATTTTCAGTAGATCGACTGCATTTACAAAAAAAAAAAAAAAAAAAACCACCCACACGCACACACAAAAACCAACCTTCTGGTAACATGCCAGAATGAGATATATAATGATGCTGTTTAGCAGCAACTGTGTCATTCAGTGTTGTTGACAGTAAAATAAATTAACATAATAAACATAATTTGCTCAAAAACGGCTAAGGAAAAGCAGATGGTTAGCACATTTCAGCGGGACCTGTTGGTCCAAGTTTGCACGGATGTTTAGACGTGGTGCTGCCTGCAACAGATGCTCGCCTGGGTCCCCACGTGACGGGCACAGGGGGACTCCGCGACAGCCTTGGGGGGAGCGCTGGGACCCGAGCCTGGGGGCATCCGGTCCAGGGCCCATCCCTGGAAGAAGGGGCACACGGCGGCCGCGCATCGGGGTCCCAGCCAGGGCTGGCGCCTCCCCGCCTCGGAGCCCGCGGTCCCCATTAGCATTCACAGCCCGTCCCGGCCCAGCGCCCATCCTTTGTGCGCCTGGAACAGGCGCGCTTTCTTCAGGGAGAGGATGGCGCCGAAGCGCTCCGGCTCCTGCCTACGCACTTCCTCGGGGTTTCAGGGGCTGTGGGTCTCTGCTGGGCGCTCAGAGTGGGTGCCCCATGGCACCCAAAAGAGAAGAAAAATTATTTTTGCAGAAGGAGGCAGCCCTGGCTCTCCAGTGCCTGGGAAGCAGAGGACTGGGGGAGGGGCGCGGCGGCTCCTTCCTCCCCAGGTTGGAGGGAATGAGAGCTGGACCTTCAGGTCCAGGTAGCCCGGACCTGCTCCCTTCTCCAGCTTTTTTTATGAATGGGCATGTCAAGCCTGTCACTAAAAGGGGACCCCTTACCAGCGTTCAGATGGGCCCAAGAAGCTCCTGGAAGTGGCTGCACTGCCTGGGCACTTCTGTACACAAAATCCGGGCTTGATCCTGGAGACTGGAAACGGCTCAGATGTGATTTCTGACAGGACAGAGTTTAGAACCCGAGAGCAGCAGTGTATGAGATCCCCAGGAAGGGGCTCTGTTGCAGGACAGTTGGCGTGCCCCCTGGGCCACAGCCCAGCTGTGTAAGGCCGCACAGTGACCCTGGCGGAGGCCTCTCCTCATTTTCCTAGCAGTGTTGTTGTGAAGACTGGATATAATGACTATTACGGCCTGCTTAGCACCAGGCCCCGCCTATGCTACATGCCCTCCAAATGGCGGCCATTGTTAATCCTGACTGCAATCTTAGATAGTTTCATGGAAAGGCAGCATTTCCCCTGGGTCCAGAGGATAAGCAGGACCTCATCCAAGTGGCTAATGGGCCCCTCAAATAGAGTATGGCCAAGACTTATCTGTCCCCAGATTTGCTCCTCAGCAGCTCCTGACTGATCTGCTCCATCCCAGCTCCCACGGGCCCTCCTCCACCCACAGCCCCAAAGCAGACTGTGCTGCTCCTCTGCTCAAAACCCACTCTGTCAGGCCGGGTTCTCTGGGAAGAAAAGGCAAGATGGAGTTATAAACGAAACAGGTTTACTAGGGGAAACCTGTGAAGGATAAGGGGGCGAGGGAGCAGAAGGCAGGGAGAGCCTGCAGACCAGGATGCAGGTCTGACACCTGCAAAGGGAGAGGGGGAAGGAAGACCGGGTAGGAAGAGCCTTAGATGTGGTGCAGCTCTAGAAAGCCTGTGCCAGCCCTGCAGGGAGCTCCATGTTGGAGTCCCAGCTCTTGTGCCCCTGTAGTGATCAGACATGGGGCAGTGTGGCCTCCAGTCAAATGCTGGGTGGATCTTGAGGGCACTGCGGGTGGAAGCTGTCAGGTGACTGCTCTTCTCCCAGGAGGTTCTCTCCTGAAGGGAGAGTGGGGCAGTGTGCCCCCATGCTGCAGCAGTCACCAGTGGGTCCCCTTTCACCTGGAACAGTATGCCCTGCCTCTCCAAGCTCCTGACTACCTTGTCACGCTTGTCTGCCCCTGCCCCCCACCCCCTCCACCACCTCCAGACACTGTGCTCCAGTCCCCGCATCCCCAGACAAGCCAAGCTTCTCCCACTGTTAGGGCCTTTAGGATTGTCCAGAACGCTGACCTCTTCTTCCTCCTGTGCTAGATTCCTCCTGCAGTTCAGACCTCACTTCAAACATCAGCAAGGCCTTCTCTGGACCATCCACTCTAAAGCAGCTGCACCCCACCCTGCCCCTCCCACCACTCTCCTCCATAGCATCTTATTCCGGTCTTGCATAGCCCTCATCGCTGCGTTCTTCTTGTTGTTGCTTATGTGTGTACATACTCAGTGTCACTTCTTGCAATCGGGGCCTTCTCTGACCTGTTTACCACTGTGTTTCTAGAACACTGCTTGGCACACAGTAGGCACATACAGGATGCTGGCAGGAATGCAAGACCTGGAAGAGCTGAGAGCACTGGAATTCAATAGCTGAGTGTTCTGGGCAAGGCTCTGCCCACTTCTCAGAACAAAAAGAATTAGGTGCTGACTGTTCATGGGCCTCAACTCTGCTCTCCTGGGCACCTGAGACAAGTCTAATAGGAAAATTCAATAGAGAAAGTGCTCTGAAAAGCCGGGGCACCACACATATTGAAAGTGTTTATTCCTTATCTAAACCTTTTAGGGCTTTTAGCATAACAACCACTGTGATGTGCTAACATGCTAATGAAGGACAGATCAGAAACTCTTTCCCCAACATCTCCTCTGTCTGAGTAGTTTTAAAAAATCCTTCAGCATAAAAGCCCTGCTTTTGTTGTCTAGCCCAGGAGACTGGCTCCACTGTTGGCAATTTAGTTGTTACCAGCAGACATGATTCTAGAACATTCCAGTAATTTGCTCTGTGACCTTGGGCACTTTTCAAGCATAATTCTTAGGTTATTTTGTGGAAGCAGTGGGAGAGTATATCTATATAAAGTTCTCCTTGCTGACATGTATAAACAAATGTTTCCAAATGATACTTATATACCAAAAACAAGCAAAACGTCCCCCTAGAACCACACCCAATAACAACCTTAAAAACCCTGAAATTTCCAATTATCCCAAATCCTCTTGACTAGCAGAACACAGTCCTCTCAGTACTGTATGTACCGTGCTAGAAGATCATCCCACAACTATTACAAAAATCTCAATCGGCCGTGGCAGCTGCTGCACAGATGTTCTGCATAGCGACTAGAGCATTGTTGAGTATCAATAAACACTATCTCCGAGACAGAAAACGTGAGCACGGAGCTACACATGGCGATGACGAGAGCCACGCAGGCCATTTGCAAGGAAATGGAATAAGATGCGGGACTGGAGGCAGCCTCCCCTCCCCACATGGAATGCCCAATTTCAGAGCAACTGTGATTTAGGTGTTGAGTGTTGGCAGGCCCCGGGCTTGGGTCTCTGTGCCAAATGGCCAGTTTGCTCCTCGAGATGGATGCCTGGAGTTTGTGCTAAACCTGAACACCCCAATTTGTGGTTCTCCAGCCCTGGGTCCACCCTTTGGCATCTGCCTAGCAGATGTCTTGAGAGATTTAACTCTGTGCGTGCTGATTTCTGAAGCTGCCCAGGTTGTGCTCAGCTGCAGGCAATGTGGGCTGGCCACAGCCAGTTTAAAGGAAATAACTCCCAAATAGATACCATCCCTCCAGGACACCCCGCTAGTGTCTTCCTGCTCTCCTTTCTGCCAGAACACACCCTCTGTAGAGATGACAAACTGCCACACTGACCCTCAGAGCTCACCAGTTTCTCTGAAGGGAGATGACACCAGCAGGAGGGGTTGAAGCCAGTGCTGTGTGTCTGGGCGCCCCTGGATTTGAGCCTGGGGGGGACCTAAGAGATGGGCTAGCCTAGCCCTCATTTTGCAGATATGGAAACCAGTGCCAAAGTAGTGACATGACTGCCAGAGATGCCATGGCTGGTGGAAGCAGCCAGAACTGGACCCCTGGCCAGTTTGATGTCTGATGCCAACTGCCACTTCCGTTTAGTCCTTCTTTGGTTGTGCCTTGTCTTTTAAGCGTGAATCATTGTGGGATGATTAGTACCTCCTCAGTTAAAGGGACACCCTCCAATCAATATCTGACATTAAAAAACAAAGTCAACAGAAGGCA